GGTTGCATAGGCTGGTGTGCTTCTTCCATGTGGGCTTTGTTGCTTCTGAGCTTGATGGCCGCTTGATTACCTTCAAGCCTTTAGGATATGCATTTTTAAACATACCAGTTATGCCCAAGGATGGCTTAACAACTTACAGTTGTAGTCTAGACGTCATCCCCAATTCAGTCGGCCCCACGGCAACAGGGTGTGTGTGCGTCCTACGCCCACTGCAGGGGAAGTCAAGGTCTTGGTTCAGTGGTGGGCTGGCCTCCTACCGCGCCACCTTTCTTGGGGCCACATACCATCCGTGGCCACCTTAGCGTTTTACTTGTCTGGAGCCCTGGCCGCATCCTAAGTATCTTGAAAATAGTCTTTGTGGAATAATCACATGGATTACTGAGTAAGGGCTAAAACATCTGGAGAGTATTTGATAGATAATGATCATGTTACCCGCACAAAGGGCTCGTCCTGTCTACAAAATGTGGAGTGTGAGGGGCCGCTAGAGGGCAAGACCATGTGTTCACAAGTTTAAAGTGACGGTTAATAGCAGAATAGAAAAAGGAGGGTGCCTGGACCATGCCTGAGTTTTCCATCTGCCTTCCCTGGAGGACGTCTTTACGAATTAAGCCCACTTTTGTCCATTACAAAAGTAATATGGACATGGAAGAGGCCCACCTCTGGAGAAGGTGTCATGTTTGGTAACATAGGTCAGCCAAAAAAAAAAAGAGGAAGCTCCTCAACAAGATGGACTGACAGCGTGCCCACGGCTGCAGCCTTACAGTGCTGGAGAGGATGGTGCAGGGCGGGGAGCATGTGGGGGTCCTGTGGTGCACAGGGTCGGGGGTGAGGGGAGCCAACTGACTTGAAGGCTCTGGCCACAGCAACGGTTGGAACAACATGCTCATCATCGTTGCTGTCACTGACTTAGGCACGTGGAAAATACTGAGATGACAAAGTGGTAATAAGCATGTATGTGTGTTCCACAGCTGGTGATAGCGACACATTAAACTGTAGAAGAAGTAGAAAGCACGATCTAATCCAGCCATGTGAGAGAGCCACAGTTAATAGTGGGGCCACTTCCTGTTTTCTCAAGTCCGCTCCGGCTCACGGGCTCACTCTGAGGCTTTTCTGTATAGTTTTGTTTTCTATATGTTTTTTTCTCTTCTATAATTGTAATCATTTTGATTATGCTGATGACTGTTTCCTGTTTTCTAAGTTAGCATTATAATATCTGTCTTCGTGGTCACTTTATATAAATATCAATTTAAAGTGAATCCTGCGTTTCTGCTTACAGAACATGCATGCCTCTCTTTAAGATTCAGACATTGCAAGAATGTACAAAGATAATATGGGTATATACACACATGCACATCTACAAAGTCTCACCTCTCAGAGAATATGAACCAATTGGCTTCCATTTCAGTATTTGTTTATCAGTGCCAGGACTAGGCAAACGTTTGCCAAAAAAGGCCAGAAAGCAAATTATTTCAGACCTTGCTGGGCATATGAGTAGACTTAGTGTCTGTCAAAAAGATCCCACTCTGCTGCTATAGCAAAAAAGCAGCCTTAGACACTATGTTTAAAAAGGAAAAAAAGTGGGGGCGGGCCAGGGGAATGTGGCTGTGTTCCAATAAAGCTTTATTTACAAAAACAAGTGGTGGGCCAGACTTGACCCCCAGGCCGTAGTGTGCTGATTCCTGGTCTGTATTCATAAGTATGTTTATTATTAGGAACGTAGGTTTTCTATTCAATAACTTAGGGTTTGTTTGTTTGTTTCAACTCAGTGATGGATCTTGGACCCCCATACCTGTGTGTGCGGGAACCTAGATCTCCTGCAGTCTGGGTCATCCTGTGACGATGGCCCTTCATTTGCCATGCTCACGGTAGCCATCCTGAGCTGCCAGTCCTGCCTTTCCCTCCTCTCTCTGCTCTGTGGGGAACTCCTCTGTGTGAAAGCCTGCCCCTCGGGCTGCTTTTCCCACGGAGAGTTCCTGGTGGTGCCGAGCTCACCGTGGTGCCGAGCAGTATGTGGATGGGCTCGATTCGGCCCGTTCGGCGTGTTCAATTTTTCTGACTTAAACAGACAGATCCCAATGCTGTGTGCATCGAGCAGAGTCCAGCCCCCAGGGGCCAGCGGTGTGTCAGAATAGACCTGTGCCCCCGGGGTTTACCATGGCTCCCGTTTTCTAATCTTCCAGGCACCTCAGGGTACACCCGAACCACCCACCTTTTGGTTAACAGCCGAGCACAGTGCCCCTTTGCCTCACTCAGGGACTCCTGATCCAACCACCACCATTTGAGAACCCACATGAGTTTGTCTGATTATTGGAGGGAGGGGAGACATGGACCCTGGACCAGGAGGGACCGAAAAGTCATGTCCCAGGTGCTGTCTGCCCGGGCACCTGCCCAGCCCCAGCCCCGCTGTGTGTACCCTGCACATTGGTGCCCAAGGGCTCTAGAAGAGGGGCCAGCCGTGGCGTCTTGCCTGTTCCCTCCCGAGTGGCCCGAGGCGCTGACAGGCGACTGTCCCTCCCAGGTGTTGTGGCACCGAGCCCAGTATGAGCCCTTCTTCCACATGCTCAGCGACCCCGAGGGCTACGTGTTCACCTGCGTCAACCAGACGGCGGAGCAGCAGGAGCTGGAGGACGAGCAGCGCCGGCTGTGCGACATCCAGCCCTTCCTGCCCGTCCTGCGCCTGGTGGCCCGCGAGGGCGACCGCGTGAAGAAGCTCATCAACTCGCAGATCAGCCTCCTCATCGGCAAAGGTGCCCGTGCAGGCTGGGACCCGTCGCTGGGCCGGGCCCACCGCCCCCACCCGCTCCCCGCGCTGACCCTGCCCTTCCCTGCTGCCCCTCAGGCCTGCACGAGTTCGACTCCTTGCGCGACCCCGAGGTGAATGACTTCCGCGCCAAGATGCGCCAGTTTTGCGAAGAGGCGGCCGCGCAGCGGCAGCAGCTGGGCTGGGAGGCCTGGCTGCAGTACAGCTTCCCCCTGCAGCTGGAGCCCTCCGCGGCACCAAGGGGCTGGGTTGCCTCCCCGCCGCCGCGCATCCCCATCCGGGCCCTCCTGGTCAACGTCAAGTTCGAGGGCAGTGAGGTGAGCCTCCCTCTCTCTCCCATCTGCAGGGACTCCGGCTGGTGCTTCCCCACGAGCCCCCAGTGCACTGCCCTAGTGTGGCATCAGATGGTCAGTTGGTGGCCCCAGTGCAGCAGGGTGACCAACGTCGTTGGGTCATCGATGCATCCACGCATTTGCCCGTCCTTCCTGAGTGGGACCTGATGCTCGTAGCAGTGGCATCTGCAACCCACGGGGAGCAGGGTGGGGGGCTCCCCAGACCGTGAATGGCCATGGAACGTCCACAAGGCAGAGATGATGCTCCCTCCGTCCCCCAGGAGAGCTTCACCTTCCAGGTGTCCACCAAGGACATGCCCCTGGCACTGATGGCCTGCGCCCTGCGGAAGAAAGCCACGGTGTTCCGGCAGCCGCTGGTGGAGCGGCCCGAGGAGTACGCGCTGCAGGTGAATGGCAAGCACGAGTACCTGTACGGCAGCTACCCCCTCTGCCAGTTCCAGGTGAGCCCGGGGGGGCACGTCCGGGTGCCCAGCCTGGCCGGGCCGGGCCTGGGGCGTGATGAGCCAGGCTGCTGGGGGTCACCTGCCGTAAGCGCAGGAGTGACCTCATCTTGAGAAAACGGGCAGGGCCGGGCCAGGGGTGCGGTGTTCCTGGGGAGCGGGTTGGCCCTGGGGCGGTTGGGGACTGCCCATGGTCAGCTTCCCCTGCCCCTCGCAGTACATCTGCAGCTGCTTGCACAGTGGGCTGACCCCCCATCTGACCATGGTGCACTGCTCGTCCATCCTGGCCATGCGAGACGAGCAGAGGAACCCCACCGCCCAGGCCCAGAAGCCACGCACCAAGCCGCCCCCCATCCCCGCGAAGAAGGTGAGCCAGCGCCCTCCACGACTCCCTTCCATGCACACACACACACACACACTCCTTCTTGCCCTGTGGTCACGCTAGACCAGTGGTTCTCAGCCTTCCGAATGCCTCGACCCTTTCATACAGGTCCTCATGTGGTGGTGAGACCCCCCCCAACCATAACATTATCTTCCTTGCTACGTCATCACTGTCACTTTGCTATTGTGACGAATCGGTGACTCCTGTGAAAGGGTCGTTTGAGCCCCAAAGAGGTCACGACCCACAGGTTGAGAACCACTGGTCTAGAGCCTGTCGGGTGCGCCCCAGGACAGCCATGGGCCCAGGACCCCCAGCCTCTGCTCTGGGGCTGATTGGTGGGCAGAGTTGGGGTTTGGTCCTGGGAGGCGTGCTGACCTGAGGCCTCAGGGACAGGGGCTGGTGGGGGTGGGCCCAGCCAGGGAGCTGCGGAGCTCAGGCAGAGGGGGCTGGGGGCCTTCTGCACCAAAGCACGGTGATGAGGGCAGATGGCTGAACTTTGCCACAAACCTTCAACACCCTCCCCACCCAAGTGGTGGCCAGGGGGTTGTGCCCAGCCCTTCCCTTCCCCTCCCAGCCCTCCTCGTTGTCCCTGTGGTTCCTGGAGCAGCCGTTCTGCATTGACCTCATCCAGGGCAGCAAAGTGAACGCCGACGAGCGCATGAAGGTACAACCGGGACCAGGGGCGTTTGCACAAACAAGTGCCTGTGGCTGGAGGGGCGGCAGAGGAAGAAGGGGGGGGGGGGTCACCCGAAAGCCACCTGACCACAATTACCCAGCATCCCTGCCCGGAGTGGTTTGTAAGCTGCTTCAAAACAGGAAGCTGGGCGGGGGGCAGGCAGGCTGGCCAGCCCGAGCAATCGATTCGGAGAAACTTGAGCCCAGCCAAGTTCTGGGTATTCACAACTGGAGGTGGTGGGGAGCAGCCCCGAGACCCAGGAACCCTGCGGCCTGGGGAGGCGGTGGCAGGCACAGAGGAGGGCTGGCTCCAGCAGGGCAGGCCTGGTACTCCCCAGGGCCACGGGGGAGGGCTGGCAGGCAGGTGCAGTCACCCCTGTGTAACCAGGGGACCAGTGATGGGGCTGGGGCCCACCTCTGCTGCAGGGACTGTGTTGGGACCCGAGTTGCACAATTCACATCCTGAACACGTCTGTCCTCAGACGGGCTCCGTGAGGTGCAGGGCTCACTGTGTGCCCAGCAGGGCTGAGTCCTGTGCCTGGAGTATTTGTTGCAGGGGGGTTTCCACAGGCAGGCAGGGCTGGACTCCCCTGCAGAACCACCGTGACTGGATCAAACAGGCAGGTGTGGGGGCGGCAAAGTGGGGACTTCCCAGCTCACATGGGGAAACTGAGATCCAGAACTGGGAAGGGGCTTGCCCTGGGGGCACACAGAGCCTGCAGCCAAGGAGCTGAGATTGGAAGCCCCCGACCCGGCAGCCAGGCCTTCCCTCTGCTGTCCGTGGACACGGGGCTCAGACCCACGGACAGGAGGACAAGGTGCGCGTGGTGTGGTAGTTTAAGCACTTGGCTGCTGACCTAGCGCTTGGCGGTTTGGACCGGCCTCTCCCTGCTGGGAGGGGGCCTTGGCACCAGTCTGCCTCTGGAAAGGCTCCTTTGAGAACCCAGCTCCCCTCTGCGCACAGTGGGTCACCAGGAGTGGACATCGACCCCGGCGGGCCCCTCAGCACAAGGAGGGGTCCACGCGACGACGGGAGCATTTGGTGGGGTGGGGTGGGGCAGCCCGCTCACCCACGCCCCGCCCCCCTGCAGCTGGTGGTCCAGGCTGGGCTTTTCCACGGCAACGAGATGTTGTGCAAGACGGTGTCCAGCTCGGAGGTGAGCGTGTGCTCGGGACCCGTGTGGAACCAGCGGCTGGAGTTCGACATCAGTCTCAGCGACCTGCCCCGCATGGCCCGGCTCTGCCTGGCGCTCTACGCCGTCATTGAGAAGGCCAAGAAGGCTCGCTCCACCAAGAAGAAGTCCAAGAAGGCGGTGGGTCGGGCTCTCAGCCTGCCCTCCCCCAGCCAGTAGATCTCCTGCTGGGCCCCTCCTGTTCTGCTCCCAGTCTGGGGAGGCGGGTGCAGCTCCAGGGGGCACCTGTGGACCTCAGCCCTGCCCCTCTCCGGTCTGCCTCTGGCCCTGGCGAGCTGCTGGCAGGGAGCTGGAGATGGCCGGGTCTGGGCCAGGAGGCATCCTCAAGTGGGAGGGACGCAGCCTCTCTCCTCCCGGGGAGCTGAAGGCCTGAGTCACGCCACTAGGAATGGGTAGTGATGGGACTCTGCGTCACCAGGCCCAGGATGTGACCCCTACTCAGCCCTGCTGACTCACACTGAGCCCAGCACGGCCAGCTTGCTGGGGATTGCTGGGGTTGCTGTGGGGGTGCCCCTGGGAGCAGAGGATGCTGTGAGGCAGTGGGCCTTCCTCACTGGGACCCCCCTCCCACAAAAAGCAGGAAACAGGAAGTAGAAGGCCCTCCTCTCCAAACAAGGTCTCCCCCAGGGTCTGGCTAAGAGACCTGCTGGGGCCGATGTCCTCCCTCCTGCCTTTGGGGTGTCTGGGTGAGAGTCAGGGAGGCTGTCCCTTTCTGCAGATGTCCCTCTCGGGCCCTGACCTGCTTGTCCTCCTCAGGACTGCCCCATAGCCTGGGCCAACCTCATGCTGTTTGATTACAAGGACCAGCTCAAGACTGGGGAGTGCTGCCTCTACATGTGGCCCTCCGTTCCAGGTCCGCCCGGGGGCAGAGACGGGCATGGGGGGGTTCCCAGGGAGGCATGCCCACACACCTGACGCCACTGGTCCCTGTTCAGATGAGAAAGGGGAGCTGCTGAACCCCACGGGGACGGTGCGGAGTAACCCTAACACAGAGAGTGCCGCCGCCCTGGTCATCTGCCTCCCGGAGGTGACGCCCCACCCTGTCTACTACCCTGCGCTGGAGAAGGTCAGTTTCCAGCAGGCTGCCCGTGGGGCTGGGTCCTGGGTCCTGGGTCTCTGTGCATACTGGGAAATGGCCCTGCCTGTGGAATCCTCACATGCCCTGGGGCAGGGGGTCCACAGTCCTATTGACCTCAGTGCCTGGTGGGGTGGTGGACACGTGCTTAGCTTTAGGATTGCACCTGCAGCTCTGTGGGAGGAAGGCCAAGGTCTGCTCCATCAAGGCTACAGCCTGGAAAAGCTAGGGGGCAGTGGGACCCACCGTGTGGGCTTGGATGCCCAGGCGACACCTGACAACAGCGGCAGGGGCATGGCACTGGTCTCAGGCCTCCGCTGCTGCGGGAGATGGAAGATGGTGCTCCAGGGGTCAGGAGGCGGAGGCTGGGGCAGCCCACCCCAGAGTCCCCCAGGCTAGCACGTCCGAGGTGCTGAGCTTGCAAGCCCTGCCCCACCATGGGAAAGTCCAGCTCGGGCTGGCCCAGGGCCACCGCTGAGGGCAGGGTTTGTGGGTCTCCTTGCAGATCCTGGAGCTGGGGAGGCACGTGGAGCACGGGCGCTTCACGGAGGAGGAGGTGAGTGGGGGCGTGGGGCACTGGGTGCAGGGTGAGGAGTGGAGCAGCCGGGCCGCCCTCACCCCAGTGGCCCCTCAGCAGCTGCAGCTGCGGGAGATCCTGGAGCAGCGGGGCTCGGGGGAGCTGTACGAGCACGAGAAGGACCTGGTGTGGAAGATGCGTCGCGAGGTCCAGGAGCGCTTCCCCGAGGCACTGGCCCGGCTGCTGCTGGTCACCAAGTGGAACAAACACGAGGACGTGGCCCAGGTGGGTGGCGGGATGCCATCCCTGGCTGCCCTCTCCCCTGGGGACACCCTCTCCCTTGGCAGCCTCCTCCCCTGGTGGTCTCCTCCTCGAGGCCCCCCCTTCCCTGACAACCCCTCCCACTCCGCTCCCAACCCCCCAGATGCTCTACCTGCTGTGCTCGTGGCCTGAGCTGCCCGTGCTGAGCGCCCTGGAGCTGCTGGACTTCAGCTTCCCAGACCGCCACGTGGGCTCCTTTGCTATCAAGTCCCTGCGGAAACTGACGTGAGCCCTGCAGGCTGTGAGGGCCACCGGGTGGTGGGGCTGGAGGGCGGCCGGGCCCCAGCTGCCAGAAGGGGTGTTGCTATGGGGATGGACTGAGCCCCGACTGGCACTCAGGGAGAGGGGCGGGGGATACCCACTTTCGACAGTGCACCCCTATCCGCAGCGGGCCCAGCAGCCTCCCCTCCTTGCAGGGACGATGAGCTCTTCCAGTACCTGCTGCAGCTGGTGCAGGTGCTCAAGTATGAGTCCTACCTGGACTGCGAGCTGACCAAGTTCCTGCTGGACCGGGCGCTGGCCAACCGCAAAATCGGCCACTTCCTCTTCTGGCACCTCCGGTACCAGACTCGCCCCCTGCCTCTGGGTCCCCCTGGGCGGGAAGAGCATGTTGGGTCCTAGGGGTCATCCCTGCTGGGCTGAGGCTGGGCCATATGGCCCTGCCAGGCCTCCATCCTCCTCTCCCTTCAGCTCCGAGATGCACGTTCCGGCCGTGGCGCTGCGCTTCGGCCTCATCATGGAGGCCTACTGCAGGGGCAGCACCCACCACATGAAGGTGCTAATGAAGCAGGTGAGAGGCTCTGGCCTCCGTGCCCCTCCCCACAGCCGGGTCCCCTGGGAATCCCCTGGAGCCACTCTCAGCCTGCCCTCCCGCCCTCCCGTTCTCTGGCCAGGGGGAAGCGCTGAGCAAGCTGAAGGCCCTGAATGACTTTGTCAAAGCGAGCTCCCAGAAGACCACCAAGCCCCAGACCAAGGAGCTGATGCACGTATGCATGCGTCAGGACACCTACCTGGAGGCCCTCTCTCACCTGCAGTCCCCTCTCGACCCCAGCACGCTGCTGGCCGATGTCTGGTGAGCCTTGCCCTCACCCCGCCAGGACCCCACCTGACGGCCCCCGGCCCTGCAGTGGCCCACTGACCCCTCTCTGGCCAGCAGCGTGGAGCAGTGCACCTTCATGGACTCCAAGATGAAGCCTCTGTGGATCATGTACAGCAACGAGGAGGCAGGCAGTGAGGGCAGCGTGGGCATCATCTTCAAGAGCGGCGATGGTGAGCGGGCAGGCCCCGTCCTTGTCCGTGCCGGCTCGGGGTAGGGGGTGGGGGGTAGAGTCTGGGCGTAACTCCTTCGGCAACAGTTGAGCAGAAGACAGTCTTTGGGGCTCCGTGGTTTGGGCACAGCTGCAGCCCACACCAGAAACTTGTGTTTTTTCTTCCTGTGGCTGGTTGGACAGACCTCCGCCAGGACATGCTGACACTGCAGATGATCCAGCTCATGGATGTTCTGTGGAAGCAGGAGGGGCTGGACCTGAGGTGAGGGCCCCTCGTCCGTCACGTCACGTGTGTCTCCGTGAGGCCTGACGCCCTGCTAAAGCAGCTGCTACTCCCCGGCCTGACAAAGGGCTGTAAGAAGAGTGGGGCCATGCCAAGGGCTCAAGTAGAAAGCTAATGTTTTGAGAATGAGGATGGCAACAAATGTAGCAATGTGCTTGACATGATGTATGGACATATGGATTGTGATAAGAGTTGTACCCCTCCCCAATAAAATGATCTTTAAAAAAGGGAAGCGATGGTGGCCATTCCAGGTTCCGTGTCCCCTCACTCCCTGTTGTCTTCTTTGCCCCAAGTGTCCCTGGCTTCCTGCAATGTCCTCTTGCCACCGCCATGATTTTTCTTCTGCGCCATCGTGAGCTCTTCCCTGGGGGTCCTGGGTACAGGGGCCTCCTTCCTAGCTCCTTGAGCAGCATCCCCTGGAGTCTTCTGGGTGCCCCGAGGTTCTTGCAGCCAAACAGCCCCAGGAGCAGGCCTTGACCATGACCTTCGCCTCCCCTCTCTGCACTGGCAGGATGACGCCCTACGGCTGCCTTTCCACCGGGGACCGCACAGGCCTCATCGAAGTGGTGCTCCACTCGGACACGATTGCCAACATCCAGCTGAACAAGAGCAACATGGCGGCCACGGCTGCCTTCAACAAGGACGCCCTGCTCAACTGGCTCAAGTCCAAGAACCCAGGGTAGGTTTTGGCCCCGGGGACAGATGCCCGCTCCTTGGGTTTGGAGGAGCTGGTCCATTACTGCGAAAGGGGAGGGCAAGAGCCCGTGACATTCAAGCCAAGGGCCAGCCCGTGTGTGTACCCCCGCATGCCCGTGATTTATTGCTGTGTAGCAGTCTTCCCAGACCTAGGGATTGAAAGAGCCATTTCTTGCCCATGAATCGTAGTTTGGGCTGGGCTCAGCAGTGTGGTTCTTCTGCTCTTCATGCAACTGCTGCCATCTGCTGGCTCGATGGGGCCTGTCTAGTGCCCTAGTATCAGCAGGGTCCCTCTCCTTGTGGCTTCCCTCTCCATTCAGTAGACCAGTCTGGACTTCCAAGCTCAGGGGTGTCCGACAGCTATGAGGCATCTCAGGACCTAGGCACCCAACATCATTTCCTCCACATCTGTGGCCAAAGCAGGTCACAAGGCCAGCCAGGTCCCAGGGCAGGGGACCAGCCCCTACCTCTTAATAGAAGAAACTTTCAAGTGTTGTGGTCATGTTTTCAATCTTCCCACCCAGAGAGGCCCTGGACCAGGCTATCGAGGAGTTCACGCTCTCTTGTGCTGGCTACTGTGTGGCCACCTACGTGCTGGGCATTGGTGATCGGCATAGTGACAACATCATGATCCGTGAAAGTGGGCAGGTAAGGTGGTGTGCGCAACTCACGGCCCCTGGCCTTTCTGCCCTGCACACAGTTCCCGGGCAGAGTTCCCCTGTGAGCCTAAGCCCCGCCATGCCCCTTGGCCTATCTGCACCTGGCAGCTCTCCACCCCCCACCCCCACCCCCGACACCTCTCAACTTTTGCCCTTCCCTCCCCCCTTAGCTGTTCCACATTGATTTTGGCCACTTCCTGGGAAATTTCAAGACCAAGTTTGGAATCAACCGTGAACGAGTCCCGTTCATCCTCACCTATGACTTTGTCCATGTGATTCAGCAGGGGAAGACGAATAATAGTGAGAAGTTTGAAAGGTAAGGGTGCCTTAGGTCCACTAGGAGCCCATCCGTCCCTGAGGTCCCTGTGAAGGAGCAGAGATCACTAGCAGCTACAGGGATGGGGACTCGGCCCACAGCCCTCTCCCCTCCCCACCCCAACCCCCGGGCTTACTGAGGGGCTTACCACATGTCCTGATCTTCTCAACAGGGAACGCCCCCATCTCAGCCCTGGAGTGCCCTGCTGGGGCAGGGCTGGGGGACGGACGCTTATAGGCTGTGTGCGTGTGGGAGGCAGCAGGCTATGGCTTAGTGGGGTCAGTTGGAGGAACTGGGCTCGTTATGTGCTTGGGCAGGGGCTCTTCGGAAGTCGCCCACATCTAGACCTCCCCCAAACAGGTTCCGGGGCTACTGCGAGAAAGCCTACACCATCCTGCGGCGCCACGGGCCCCTCTTCCTCCACCTCTTTGCCCTCATGAGGGCGGCAGGCCTGCCCGAACTCAGCTGCTCCAAAGACATCCAGTATCTCAAGGTGAGCCCGGAGGCCACCTGCCTTCCAGGGAGGCCACTGTCCAACCTTAGCTTGTGGGTCTCGTGTCTTCTGGGGCCTTCATCTATGGGTGGGCAGCGTGCTGTCTTCTTAAGTCAATCCATCCCCCCCCCCTTGGGCCGCAAGCTTTTTATTCATAGATGTAGGTGGGGAACTGTTAGGCACGATTTTCCTTCCTGCATCTGCTCAGTTGGGGTGGCTAGTGAGTGAGGACACTGGCCAAGGTGCCCTCTCAGTGTCACCTTCTGTGCCCACTTCCTCCTGGAGCAACGGTCCCCTAGAGAAGGCAAAAGCTGTGGTGGTGGCCACAGAGAGCCTGACGGGTTTGCACCTTGTGTTGTAGGTGGGTCACGCTGACCTGTCCACAGTGGTCTAGAAGGACGTTGAGAATACCCAGTGGGCTGGCTGGGAGGGGGCTGGTCCTGGACCAAGCTCAGCTCCTTCCTTTAACACTGCTGCCACGTTCCCGGTTTCAGGACTCCCTGGCGTTGGGGAAGACGGAGGAGGAGGCTCTCAAGCACTTCCGGGTCAAGTTCAACGAAGCCCTCCGGGAAAGCTGGAAAACCAAAGTGAACTGGCTGGCCCACAATGTGACCAAAGACAACAGGCAGTAGCAGTCCCTTTGGCCCCCGCGCCCGCCCGGTGGCTCCTAGCCCTGTGCTTGAAGCTGCGGCGACCTTTCTCCTGAAAGCCGGAACGGCGCCTCACGGGAAAGAACTGACACAATCGCCTTTTGTTGTTTACAGTTATTTATTGATGACTTGAAACGTTGAAGGGACTACACAGCCATACAAGGAATGCAGCTTTAGAGCCTTGTGGGGGCGGGCATCCCCAGGCTGCCCCAGTGGAAGGACGCAGCCCCAAGTCTTCCAGCTGGTGACCAGAGCCCAGCTAGACTCCTCTCCTCCCACCGAACTACGGCAGGTTCGGCTCCAGCGGTCACCTCATGCCTAGGCTCTGGAGAGGTGTCCCGTCCTCGGCTCTCCGCCGCCACCTCTGCACGTCTCCCACTGACTGTGATTTGGGGTGTCCCCCCAGAACACCCGGTGCCCCAAGATTCAGGGATGCCACAATTTGCTTTAAAACTAACTCTTGGGCCCGGGATCCTCTCATCTCTGCTGTAAAGCCATTTTGTGTGCGGGTACGAAATATCGACTTCTTGAGTCCTACTGAAGTCCTACTGTACTCCGAGCCTAAGGAGAGCTGACCCCCGGCCCCCCCCCCACACACACGTGGGTCCTCAGGACATGGTAATGCTAGGTATCGCCTCTTGGCTTCCAATCAAGGGTGAGGCAGGTGCGGGTACTCTGGCAGGACCTGGGGCCCCAGAGCACAGGTGCTCATTCAGGTGGGGGGGCCCAAGCTCTTTCTCCAGAACCCTTCAGGAGGTCTGCCGTCACCAGCACTGGCTGTATCGGGATTCCGGGCTTTGGTGGGGGCCCTTTCCCCGGGCGGTATGTAGTCTTTCACTGGAGGGCTTCAGAAATGCCCGCCCCACATCCTGAAGCCAAGGGGCTTGGTCTGGGTTGTGTCAAGCCCATGGTGGTCCTGCGGTATTGGCGGCAGGCCTGGTACTGGCTGGGCTTACACCACTGACCTTGGCCAGGCCTCCCAATATCCCAGTGCCCGGCCTAGCAAGAAGACATGCCAACTGTAGGTCTGGGGAGAGGCAGGAGGCAGCAGCTCGCTCCAGGTGGTGGCTGGCCCCATTGGCTCTGCTCGCAGTCTGCCTATCACTCAGAACACCTGGCTCACCCAGTGTGTGCTGAGATCCACCAGCTTCCCCTGGCCTGTCCGTGTGTACATATGTTATTTATTGGAGCGAGTCTGCACACTCCCCGGCGTGGGCTGCAGGCCTTTGCACATACACAGCGGTTTGGGGCTGGGTGTGTATTGTGTGCCGGGCAAAAATATTTCCAATTTAAAAAAATCATTTACTGTTTCTGTGTAGCGAAGGTGAGCCTAAGCAGCAGGGATGGAAACCGAGCCCAGACAGCTGAGAAACCTTGGCAGGAGAGGTAAAAGCAGATTAAATAAGGAGTCTTGTTAAGCTTTCCACCTGGGCCCTAAGGCACACGGGGCATGCAGGACTCACAAGAAGATTGCAAAGAAAAAAAGTCATTCAGGTGGAGTTAGAACCAGAACTTTATTGTAGCAGATACACTTTCTGACCTAGCATCGATAGACACATCTTAAGAGTGACACCTGGGGCAGCTAAGGACACACGTGCCCCCCTCCCCCCGCCCCCCCAAATGGGTTCTCAGTGGTCTACACAGAGCAGCTACAGTGGCGGGCATGGAAGATGGCTACACACAGACACAGGTGACCGTCCGTTTTCTGGAAACTAGCAGTGATGACCACAGGACAGTAGTCAAAATGACAGCCCTCCCTGCCCTGTTTTAGAAATCTAAAATTTTACATTTAAATTAATCATAATAAAAAGAGAAAAGTGGCCATGTGGGTTTTCAGTCTCTTCCTTGCTTGCCACTGGGCGTGGCCGTGACGCCCTGGGGCAGGGTCAGCCTGGGGAGGTTGGACGGGCCGAATGTGGCCTCTGGCTGGGGAGGCTCCTGACAGCCCACCCAGCTTCTCAGCCATCCCGAGTCCGGCTCGTGGGCTTGCTGCCATCCCCAGACAAGTGCCTGGATGGTCTGCACAACGGTTGTCGGTTCATCATGTAAGAAGTGCTGGGGTGGACAAGGAGTAAGAAAGGGGCCCCGGGTCCCAGCAACACCCGTACTGGCCCAATGCCAAGCCAGCCCAGGCCCCCAAGGCCTCCCCACCTGACCCCTGCCCTGCTGTCCCACCCACCGGAGGAGACCTGAGGCTGGATTGTACTGAGCTGACCTGGGGGCGGGGAGCAGGTGGGGGCTGGACAGCCCTGTCACCTGGATTTCACCTTAAATTCCAGTCCTTGATGACACTAGCGCAAAGGACACCAGAGTTCCAATTTATTTACAAAATATTAAAAACTCAGTTAATCATCTACATAGTAACCCCATTCTGCCATTTTATACATGCACTAGGTTTGGAAAAAAACAGACTTAAAAAAGGGGGAGGGCGGGGAAGGTGGGACGGAGACAAACCAAAGCAGCGGTTACCGGGTGGGAGGGAACAGCGTTACCCCAGGCAGCCGGCCGTCAGGACAGCACCTGGAGCGGGCACGGCTGCATTGCAGCAGGCCAGCAAGGGCCTGCGGACACTGTGTGTGTGTTTGTGTGTGTGTGTGTGTGTGTCCGGCACTGTGGGTCACTGTGCAGAGATAACGGCGGAGGCTGTGGGGGTCGCTCCACGTGGTCGGGATCCAGGCAGAGGGCGGGGAGCCTAAGTCCTATACACCAAGCAGGGGCAGACGACAGGCACCAGGGAGGGTCTGCAGACCTACTGGCCAAACAATGACTTTTTACATCGTGGATCCTTGGGGTGGAGAGGGTGGGGGCAGCAGTCCTGGAAGCAGAAAAGAGGATAGCCGAGGAGGGAGGAGCCACTGCGACCGGTCAGTAGCTGAGGGTGGAGTCGTCCCACTCCAGCTGCTGCTGCCTGCTGGCGCTGGGCTGGTCCCCGTGCGCCCCCTCCTCCTCCTCGCTGCTCTCCGACTCAGCGCTGGTGATGTCGTCGTCCTCCTCGCCCTCCTCACTCTCCTCCTCCTCCTCTTCCTCCTCCTCCTCGCTGCTGTGCTGGTCCTCGTATGTCTGACATGGAGACGGGCGGGTGAGTCCAGCCCCGCCCCCGCCGGCACCCCAATCACTCACACTGACAAGAGGTCCAGAGACACTGGAAGCTGCCCTATGGCCACCCACACAGGCATGAGCCTATGAGGCACGGCGGCGGCGAGGGACACAACATTCAAGGGCTCGGAGAAACGTGCCTGGAGCCAGAGGGGCAGCCGAGGGGGAGCCTGCCGAGTGGATGGCAGGCTGGCCGGCCTCAGTCCTGCTTCTAAGCACCGCTTAGCACCACCCTGGTGACACAGCAACAAAGGACTTTGATGTGTGCCTACCAGCTGCTCTGGCTGGGTGATGAGCTCGGCAACGGTCGCACCTAGGAAACCCTGAGGCAGTGGGTTCTACCTGTCCTACGGGGTCGCTACATGTCAGCACCAACTCGATGGCACCCACCCGGCAACCATCCACAAGCCTGCGCTGACCCTTCTGCAGGGGAGGACCCGCCCACCTCTCAGAGCTGGGACTGGGGTCACC